ACCCTGCTCGGGCCGGGGCTGGACGGGGTGACCTTTCGCGGTCCTCTCCAAGCCGACAGCCCGGGATCCTGTGGTTGGGTGAAGGGAGCAGCTGCCGAGCGGGCGGGACGGGCCGATCCCCGGCATTTGGCCCCGGGGGATGGGTGAAAGCTGCTTCCCCGCCCTCTGAGTTCTTGGTGTGTCACTTCAGGCACTAAATAAATTCTCTAACGCTTAAGTATGAGCCATAATACCTGGTTCTTATCTCACAACAACAAGAAATGTGTCTACCCATGTGTTTCATAACACTGTGTTAAAAGAATGGAAACTAAGGCGGTTTTCTGCTGATTTAACACAGCATCGATATAAGAAAGCAAATTCTGTATTAAAATTTAAATCCTTATTCTTACCGTAATTGTGTTTAATATTTTTTCGCATTGAAGAAGTATAAAAATGAGCAGTGGCAGCACTACAAACCCAGAAGTGACAGTTAGTTCCTGCTACAGAAAGCTTAAATGAAATAAACTGGTGCTGTACATTTTGTGGTGCTCCGTGCTCTTTTGTTCCTTCTTTCCCAGAGAATTCTGAGTACGATTTTTACAGTTCATCTGCTGAAACACTTTCTCCAGGGACAAACTGGAAGTTTATCTTTGCGATGGTTTCCCTAAAATGCTAGAGGAAGGTTCCCATGTCCCTTCCTCCCCGGTCTCGCTCACTTCAGTAGAAGGTGCCGTTTGTTGCCGAAAGGATCCCACCAGCCTGGTGTGCCAGGCAGCGGGATGAATGGTTGTGCTGGCCCGAGGGGAAGAAGGCATAGGTGGGACACAGCGGCTCTAGAATTTTCAAAAGCTGCTATAAATTCCTAATATGAAAAAGGAGAGCTTTGCTCGTGTTAAAAAAAACCAAAAAACCACACACCTTGATATTCTGATTGGATCTTTGTAAAGCAGCCTCGGAATAATCTTCCACAAGTGAAAAATAAATACCGATTTGAAAAAGTATTTTTTAGAAAATACAGCTCGGGAGTTAAAAGAGTAGTAAACACGTAACCATAGCTGGGATGTGAATTTTGAGTCCTTTGCTGCAGGGAGCAGAGGTGAAATTTGGTGATTTGTCATTTCCTGCAATCAGCTCTGAATTCCCTTCCCTCTCCTTGGCCGGCAGGTGAGCGGAGCGGGGGCGGCTGAGCGCCCCCCTCCTGATTTGGGGGCCCAGCGCGGGCAGGAGACAGTGACAGGAGAAAGCAGCCACTCGGTCCACACCAGACGTGAGATGCTTTTGGTTTCGCTGACATTTGAACAGAGATCTCTACAACCTACAGATCAACTGAAGTAAAACGTGAGGTAAAGCGTTGCGGGTGTGCAATGGCTAAAAAAGAACGTTGTTCCTCGAGAGGACTGTGACCCTCTGTCCCCTCCTGAGCCGCTGAGACGAGGAAGGGCCGACGCGGGGCGCGGGTGCTGCTGGCGCTGAGGCGCCGAGTTTCGCCAAGGTGGGAATCATTTTCCCTTGGCAGCGACAAAAATTTCTGCGTTTGAATTCAGCTCATGAAACAGTTATCTTGGATACCTTTTCCTAAGACTTTTTTTCCCCCTTCTTCTCTACTGCATGTTATTTAGTGGATAGAGATGATCGTTATTAAAAACCAGTACAAACCCTTTCATTCTCAGGGTTAGGAGATGCGCCCTTTCAAGTCGAAAAAGCGTTTTAAAACTGCATTTCCCATCGTGCTCACGGGTTTCTGGGCCGGGTCAGCTGATGGAGGTTGGGAAATGTTGCTTGTTTCCTGTCCAACCTGCGATGGAAATGACTCGTGTGCACCGATGTCTCATCTTCCCTTCGTCAGGTGGTTTCAAGGCTGGGGCTCAGGATTCTGATTTAGAGCCACGGCAGGAACCGGAGCTGATTAACCAGCGCGATACTTGGAAAACTGCTTCCTTCGGGGGAGAGGGATGTCACGAAGCGACGCGCTGCAGCCTGCTCGGTTAACTTCATGGGAAAAGGTGGAGAATCTCGGTATTTCCCTTTTGTGCCAGACCTTTCTTTGGGGTTTTGTTTGTTTGTTTGTTTTTCTTGGTTTTTTTTTTCCCCTCCTGAGTTACTGGTTTTCCTGTTCGTTGCGAGATTTCTTGGTTAGGTGATAGTTATATCCTGGCAGCTAATAAGCAGCCCTAAGTAATCATAATTTTTGAGGCTTTCTTTTCTTGTTTTTTTTTAAAACTCTTTTTACTTGCTTGTTTCTAACAGAAGTTAAGAGGAAGCTTTTGAAAGAAAATAGAGTTTTTCCAGACTGAAGCTGACGACCTGGGGAAGAAAACACAAAATGTCTCCTGAATCAAAAAAACTTTTCAACATAATTGTTTTGGGAATCTCGTTTATGTTTATATTCACTGCTTTCCAGACCTGTGGAAATATTGCGGTAGGTGTGAATTTCAAAATGTGCCACAGTTCTGTCACAGTTTATCCTTCCTTGTCTTTTGTGTACTCTAATGTAAGAGCTGCTTTATTTGGGATTTTTTAATGTGCGAGACACCTTGATATTTTGTCTTCTTTATTTCGGTGTAGTGTTAACTGGATTAAGGTTGTTAACTGGATAATTAAGCATTTTATTTCTCTAAGATAGCATAGCTACATATGTGCCTGATTGCTTAGAAAGTAGAAAATTAATCTTATGAAATGTTTGAACTTTAAAATAGTGTCTGTTTTGACACTTGCAATATTTAACAGTTGAACTACGTTAGTTCTTCCATATTTCTGATGATTCTGCATAGTCCCTTTCAAAATATTTCTCTAAGTTGTCATTATTAACCATGCCTCTAGTTTTTCCTAAAGTATTTTGCCTGTCCTAATGGATTTTTCTGTTCCAGCAAACTTAGACATTGAGGGGGAGTATGAGGATAACATCTGAGGAGCAGTCACGCTCCCACAATGGCTAGAACTGCCAAGTCACCTTCTATCTGAAAAAAAAATAAATTACTGCTATCGCTTTGCATGTGGAAGCAAAATCGAGCATAACACAACCCAAACTGCAAATTGCACTCTTAAGACTTAAATGTTGGAAGCCTGCTACTGACATCCTTAGCCCAGAGCCTCTGACTTGCCGGCGTTGCTGTCGGTGTTCGTTGTGTGCCTGAAGGGCAGCAGGATTTCAAAATACCTCTGGAGCCTACAGGTCTCACAGCTTCTCTTTTCCTGCCTGCAGGAAGATCCTTTCTGCGTTCAGACCTATGAATGTCCCTCACTCCATTACAGAAATCCCTGCTTAGGGTAGTTTTTGTAAAAGTCCTGGTGTAGTGAGGCGTGAGCACAGCTCAGTGAAACTCTGCGCTGAATTCCCAGCGCGTTGCTGGAATGGACCTGGGGACCGTGCAGGCGTGAGATTCGTTGTCGCTGAGGTCGTTACAGGTGACTTTTAACCAGGTCTGCCTGCCAGCCCGGGCGTTGCTTGGTCTTATGATCACTAGAGCTAATTCAAGGGAAAAAAAAAAGAAACGACAGGGAAGTACGAAAAGAACGGAAACTCTTTGTCAGAAGCTCATAGTTAGGTCGCGTTAAGAGTATTTGGAAACTTCTCCTGTTTCTTCCCCACTTTTAAAATTAGGATCGTCGTCTGTCTGAGAGAGGCGTTTAGGGAAGCAAGTTTTGTGAAATATTTGAAGGTCTCTGATGAAATCATGATAGAATCCTAAAGTAACTAAGTCCTGCTTCAAACACAGATGTTTCCCTGCCATCTCTCTCCTTGGCCTTCCTTGTGGAGGTGGTGGGAGATGTAATTAACACTTCCAGCTATTTAAAGTATTTTGTAGAGCCTATTAATAATTGGTTTGATACTCACTTCAAGCTGATACAAGTATTCTCAAACTACAAGGTATGTTCTAACGTATTACAATGTCTGATTTTTCTCCTCACAGCAAACCGTTATCACAAATTTAAACAACACGGATTTTCATGGCAGTGGCTACACAAGGTAATCTACACAGATCTCTGTTACTTTGCTCCCTGGAGGGCGAAGCTGGTTATAATTCCGTCTAGCAGAGATATACTCTTGAGAGATTGTAGTGTTCTGCTGACTTCACAGTTTAATGATGTACTTAAAGCAGTTTAAAACAGTTCTGCTGTGAATTATTTCCAGTTGAACTATGTATCTGTTTTGCATGTTTTATTTGTAGGGAGAAAAACCACCACACAGTCATCACATTCTCAGCGTTTAATCTTAGGAGATGAAAAAATTGGAAGTTTTAAAGTAAATAAAACTGCTGATTAAGGCTGTAGGTGTTTACCCTTGTACACCTCTGGGTGCTTGTGCAGCACAGGCGGTGTGGATTGACTTCCAGGAAATATTGCAACATAACTGGGAAAGGTGCAGTTGGAAAGATGAGAAGCAAAGCCACGAAAAGCCGTTCTGTTTGTTGTGGTAGCACAGCCGATGTTGTCCAGCCTGATTAGGGACCTTTTGTGTGCCAAATTAATCTGTCATATAGGAAAACCTGGTTGCTACCCGGAAGGATTTACTGTCTTAATTTAAACTTAAAATACAACTGGCACAAAATACGCTTCTAAACTTCATGTGGTGTATGTGGCAGAAGCCTTACTGATAGACGGATGAGGCTCTGGAACATTCTCCTCCTGAAATACTGGGCACAAAAGACAGTAGCTGTGGTTAAGGCACAGGCTGACAAAGGCATGTTGTGAATTACCAGACGTGTTTGCAGCCCTGTTCAGCAAAGCCAGAAACCCCGCGTGCTCCTGTGCTCCCGTCGGGAGTGTAACGGGTGAAGGTAAAGGAGAAAGGAAGGAAATGTTTGACCAGGAAAGTTATGCAGTTACCCAAGTTATGTGGGTATTTAACTTGATACTTTGGAATTGACTGAACATTCTTAAATCAGCTGTATTTTAAATCACTGTATTTTAAGTACTTAATCTTCTTTGGTGTTTCTTTCTGTAGCATGTCCATCATTTATGGAGTGTTCTCTGCATCAAACCTTGTGTCACCTTCAGTGGTTGCCATAGTAGGACCTCAACTCTCTATGGTTGTTAGTGGCATATTTTATAGGTAAATATTAGTTTTGATTTTTTTATCTGCTTCATTTGAAATCTGCCTTTCATGTTGCCACACCTAAGGCTGCCATGCCGTGCATGAAGTTGTGCTGGCTCAGGAAGGCATCGTGCAGAGATCCTGCCTGTATCAGGAGATGCACCTGCAGAGTAGTTCAGCCTACCGGAAACACAGTATATTTTTTCCACAGCATCTCCAGACTTTGCTGACTGCAGAGTTCACGTTGTGGTCTCAGATTAATGATTATATAAAAAAAAATATTCTGCCTGCTTAGGGGAGTAAAAAGATTACCTTTTTTCCATGTATGGTCTAAATCATTTTCCACTGTCACTTAGGAGAGCGTAGCTGATTTAGAAGCAGCTAAGTGAGATATCTGATTGTTAAAGAACATTGTCCACGGCCATTTCAGTAAACTTGATCTGTTCTGTTCTAGCCTGTACATTGCAGTTTTTATCCAACCTGCCACATGGGCTTTCTACACTGCTTCTGTTTTTATTGGCATTGCAGCTGCTGGTAAGCATTGTTCTTGCCCTGCTTACCTTTCTTCACTATAGTTAAATATACCTCGAAAATATTTTCATTTCCTGAACCATATATTCTCTCTATTTCAGTGCTCTGGACAGCCCAGGGAAACTGCTTGACTGTAAATTCTAATGAAAACACCATTGGAAGGAACAGTGGAGTATTCTGGGCACTCTTGCAGTCCAGGTAAGCTTTGTTTGTTACTTTTTCCTTGGCTGTGTACACATTCTACTTCTTACACTTTTTGATAAGTGGGAGACGGCATCAGAAAATACTCCACTGGTACCTCAGTCAGTGAAGCGGGAGGAGGAGCTAGAAGCAACTTTTCTATTGCAACTGTGCAGTACAGAGCAATGAATGAAAGCTGCATATTGCAAGCCTCTGCCTGACACACTGAAAAGATACTTTTCTGACAGGGGAGCATTTGACATGTGCAACAGGAACCCTCTTGATTGTGGATGGGTGTGCTAATTAATTTCTGTCAGGATCCTGAGTGCACTAATAAGGCCTAATGGTCCTGAACAACCACCTGGCACCTCCGCCACACCCTTCCCACCTGCCCCTGGGCCCGGGAGGCCCATTGAACCTCAGCCCTGGGGCTTGAGTTCTTCTGGAGCTGCGCTGGAGGAGCGCTGGTCTTCAGCTCAGCCACAGCTCTGCCTGGCTGTGGATCGTGGGGGTCCAGACCCCAGTTCTCCCAGGCTGATTTCCCATCCTGGCTTCGCTCTGCTGTGGACCTGTATGGCAATCGCCAAACGTGTCTCTGGCCTGTAGACTGACATCTCGCCTTGAATTCAGAGCTCCCTCATTGACACACACTTGTACTGGTGATCTGGGCTCTTGCTGAGCCTGCTTAACAGTCTTTGGGTCTGCCTTGCTTGCCCTGCTCCAGGACTGCAGGCCTGTTGTCACCAGTGTTGTCTTCTCTGCTGGGTGTGTTGTCCCCTTGCCTCTCAGTTCTCCTTCCCTGAAGGAGCAGGTGGGCCTTGCTGCTCGCTGACAAGTTGAGGTGAAGATACTGATGTTGGAGCAGGAGGTCAGAAAAGTGCTCTTGTGATATTAAGCTTTGAGTCAACAAAAGGCTCAGCCCGAGGGAAGGTGGTGAGAACACGCTGTGTTGCTGCCATCGGGGACGTGGTGCAGGTTGGGTTTGTGCCTCTCAGGAAGGCAGAATACAGCCAGGGCAGAGGGAGCAGTAACACGAATGCTTAAGAAGATACTGCTGCTGGCTTGAAGAGAGACTGAAAAGGCTGGGATTCTTTGCTTTGCAGGAAAAGCATCTGAGGGGGATTGTGCTGATGGGTTACTGAAACACAAAGGCAGCAGGTGAGCTGGACGTGGAACTGTTGCTCACCAAATGCTCACCCTAGAGGATGATTTGTTTGAAACAAAGTGCTTCGTCATACAGTGGGGGCTTAAACTTTTGGAACTTGCTGCCACAGGAGTTGGATGGTGTCAGCAAGATCAGAAAGGAATCAAAAATTATTTAGCAACAGTCCTGCAAGTTGTTCCTTTTTCCGCCTATGGTACAGCAGGTCTGAGTATTGGGAGCTCACGAGGGGAGTGAATCACAAAGTGCTGCGGCAGGTGAGCCTGCGCTAGAAGGCACTGCTGATGGTGCTGTGGGGACAGAACAGTGCAGGAGCAGAGCGTCCCTTGAACCAGTGGCACACCTGTGTACCCTAAGGCTCAGGAATTAACACATCAGTACGTTATCAGAGTAGCGATTCCCACAAACCCACCTAGTCCTGTGTTTTACGGTGGGTGAAATGCATGGCTTTATAGGAGGAAATGCCTCTAAAGCTGTTTTGCGTTGCTGTTTGCTCAGAATTGGTGTATTTCAGGAAACTGCAGGTAGGAACACAGAACTTTGCTTGAGCCATGTGTGAACTGACACAAGCAGGATGCAGGAGCAACCAGAGGACTGTGGATGAAAGGCAAAGACAAATTGATTCTCATTTCCTTGTGAACCCTGGGGGATCTCTGGAGCAGCGCCCGGGTGGGGGCACACAAGTGGGAACTCGGTCCTGGCTAGAGAGCGTGGCAGCGACACAGCAGGTTCTCACCACCTTTCCTCATGCCGAGCCGTGGTGCCTGTTGCTTTTGCCTGCGTGTGTCGGCGATTTTTGCAGTTTTCCACTGCGCTTTGATCTTTCCCACAGCAGGGCAGGAGTCTCAGACATGTCCAGTGAGGGGCCTCTGTGATCTTTCCCACAGCAGGGCAGGAATCTCAGACATGTCCAGTGAGGGGCCTCTAAGTCTATCAGAGACCTTTGTTATCTGAGCCCAGATGTTCTCCTGGCCGAACACACAAGGATAGGCAACAATCAGAATGATAAATGTGTTTTTCAACACCGTGGTTGCAAGTCCCCTGAGCATGTTTGCAATCCTCCGTGCCAGTCTTCTGCTCTTTTCCCACAAGCTGCGCACCACCAGTTTGGCGTTGCTGGGGCAAAACTTCAGACAAGACACATGATTCTCCTAAGGAAGTGACACAAAATCATCTCCATAAATGTGTCAGCTTTCTAACGTGCACTCTTCCAGACTTGGAGGTAACTTAGATGCAGATTTCCTCATTTTTGCTACCACCTTGTGTCTTGATGGCTGAAAATGAGTAGCTGGGGAGGAATCCTCTGCTGTGTTTGAAGTTTATAGAGAGAAAGCAGCTTGCATGGAGAGTTTATTTCTTCCGCAGTTGTGCAGTTCTATTCTTTGCATACGATAGTATTGCCATGATGGTACAACCTTAACCTTGCTACTAAAAGTACTGTTCACCCGTGTTGTTCTTTTTTATTTACAGCTTGTTTTTTGGAAACCTCTACATATACTTTGCTTGGCAAGGAAAAACTCACATATCGGGTGAGTATTGCTTATTTATGTGGGAGGCCATCCTTTAAAATATGGTAGCGTGGTTAAACAGATGAAAAAACAAACTGGAAGGTGGCGCAAAACTTATATGATAGCAGATTATTTTTTTTTCCCAGTTTATTGTTAGATATAGTTTATTTTTGGAGTATGTTTTGGATTGAACATTCCATGGTACTCACAGGCCTTGTATTATGTGTGTTGTTTTCCTGCCTGCAATGCACTTTGAGTGCACCTTTTAGAATATTGTCTATGGAATTCTCCAGAATGCCAGTTTGGAATAAAGTTTTCCCAGGTAGTTACTCTGGGATTTTTCCCTGCACAGACACACTTACGCCAGAGTACACGTATTTTGAAGGAAAGGTGTTCTGGAATGGCTCTATGTTTGATATCTGCTATCTCATTTCAAATGCTGTCTCATTTCCTGGTGTGGACCATCCTTCTAAATCGGGTTGGAGGCTGAATAACTTAGGAAATCAAGGAAAAGAAAGGGAAACCGTCCCAGTTTGCTTTGTGGCTGCAGTGATGGTCGTGCTGGCACCAAGTGTGAGCGAGGCGGAGGTGGAGCTGTGTCGCTGGGCACATCCTGCTGCTGCTTCCGCTGGCCGAGCTGCTGGAAGAGTGTGGCAAGAACTTAGTCGTCCTTCTTGGCATGGTTTCTGAAGCCTGACTTCCTGATGGAATTGTAACTAATGCTCTAGTTTCTCCATTTGTCGTCATGCTAGGCTGGTAAAGAGCAGGAATTAGAGAGCAGTGGACTTACTAATAATTCTTAAGCAGCTGGACAGTGGTTGAGATTCAGTATTTTTAAAGCAGAGACTTCTGGCAACAGAAGTAGGACAAGGTAAGTGAGTCTATCAACTAAGAAAACTACAACAGTGAAAATAGAGCAAAACCTGAGATTTTAATTAGAAAAACTGCACGTTGTTGGAAAAACAATGTTTTGTAAACAGTCTTCTGTTCTATAGTAACTGCAAGAGTTTTCCTTATTGTACTGTTAAAATAAAATACCTACTAGAATGGTAAATTTGTTTAATGTCTGAAAGATGCTGTAGTCAATCAGGAACAAGATGTTGACTTTTAGATGATAATCATCAGGCTGCAGAAGTCCTGCCCTGGTGAGATGAATAGTCCACTTCATGCCTCTGTTAGATTCTTCTTTTAAGGTTCTCCGCAGACATGGGCTTGGTAGCACAGCAGAGGTTAATTTTTAAAGATCATCTTCCACATTCCTTCACCTCTAATACAAAGGTATAGATGTCAGTGGAAGTATGGGAGACACGTTGAACCCAGTGGGCCTGAAATTCTGAGCATTCTGAATTTCCTTGCTTTTGCCAACCACAGAACAGAGCAATTAACTGTGAGGGGGTTCTGCTGCTCGCTTTTCCTCGTCTTGAAATGTCTTGAGACTTCTCTTTATTAAAATATGTCAGTATCAGAAGACTTAAGTGTTTAAAAATCGATTCCTCCTTCCTTTTACCACCTATATAAAAATATTACCGACGTTTCAAGGTGAAACAGATAATCTCTTTTTGATCTGTGATGTACACAGATTATTTTTAATTGACGTAGAATAATTTTACATTTACCTTTTAGCTGAGAAATAAAGTGTAGGCAGTATCTCAGAATCATCACCAGATCAATCACAACTATTAGCTGTTTCTTGGCTTTTGTTTTCCCCCTGCTTAATGTTTGTAAATGGGAATGGTTTCTGTACTACAGGTGTGTTTGTGTAGCAGAGCTGGTGCCTGGGGCCGCAGTTTCGTTCCTCCAGCTGCACCCTGTGCTGTGTCAGGTCTCAGGGGGTTTAAGGCCGTTGCAGTTTACAAGCCCACCGGTTTCTGGCATTAATGTTTCTGAAGCTGATAAAGAGCTTTTTTCTTTTAGAAATCAGAAGGGGTTTGAGGTATTTTGCTGTGTCCACTCTGAATTACGTAGATCCTGCAAGATGTCCTTCTGCTACTAATTTATGCCGTTCCTTCGTTAGTTGGCTCCTCCTGCCTTTGCACGGCAGAGGAGGCGAGTGGCACTCTGTAAAATGCTGATATTTTACTGGCATCAGAAAACTGAGACAGGAATTTGCTGGCAGCTCCTGGTTCTCGGAAGGTCCCGAAACCCGGGTACCTCTTGCTCCGAGTGGGAGGTAAGTCAGGAAATCAGTGTGGCTGTTAAACCGCGTTCTGTGGGGTGTCAGCGGTAGCTGTTTGGAGGGAGCTGAATCGGTTCAAATCGCTTTGGAGCGTCTACTTATGACTCTTCTTTGTTTTTCCACAGAGAGCGATCGCAGAACCGTCTTCATTGCTCTGACCGTCATCAGTCTTGTGGGCACAGTTCTATTCTTTCTGATTAGGAGACAAGAGGACACAAAAACTCCAGGGGAGGAAGATTCTGCTAATGAAATCCTGGGGGACAGTTCGTAAGTGCTTGTGGCAATAACTTCACACGCGCTCGTTTGTGCGCCCGCTCCCCTGGGGAATCTTGTGCGTTCACTTTCCCCTCTATGCTGGAAACATGAATGTTATGAACAACCTGTAGATTTGAATAGAAAAGTATCTGTACTTTAACAAGTAAGAATTAATGTTCCTTATGTGATACACTTTCAAGAGTGGAGTGTAGTGCTGCACGTTAAGTTTTTTCCATTAATAACTAAGTGCTTTTGGAAATCCACTTTTTACCACTCTTCTCCACTGATTATTCTTAAGCATGTATCTGCCTTACATAGTCTGTCTTGCCCCATCACCTCAGTGTAAAGGCTGGAATAAACAAAAATTAATCCCTCTGGATAGGTTATCTTTTACATACTGAACAAGACTTTTATGTCTTCAGTAAATATAGATGTGCCACCCTGATAAATGTATTAGAAAGGCATAGGTACACAGATTCAGTGCAGCTTTGTCTGAGCCATCACTTTAAATACTTTTGCTTTATGTAAAGAACAATGAAAACGTTAAAAAAACTTCAGGAAGTATGCCAGTGGAAAAATTGTTCAAAGCTAAAAGTGCTCAGAAGAAAGATTTTGTTAAGCAGGTTAATTTTTGCGTGGCATTCTCTAGCACAGAGAGCAAATTTTGGTGTTAGTGCTTCAGATTCTCAGAAACTTTTAAAAATATATCGGCACATTCCAGTGTATAGTGCTGGGCCAAGAAATGTACAGAAAATTTGAAATATGAAGCTTCCTTCTAGCATAGCAATACTGTGTGGTTATTCTTTTTCTGTTTTGACCAAGTCATTTGTTTCCCCAGGTCTGCACAAAACAAACTGACGAGAGCAGTGGCTGCCTTCAGTAAGTACTGTTTCCTGTAAGAATTGCTTCAAAAAGCGCTGACATATTCCTCCCAGCTCTCCACGATTCTGCTGCTGATGTCATCAAGGACAAACCACTTAGAACAAAAATCTGTGAACAAGTAAGGTTTTAGGAACGCATCTCAGTTATTCCACTTTGAGTATAGACCTTCAGGGGCGGCTTGCTGGGACCAATGACTGCCAGCTGGCAGTGGCTCTCAGACTGGCGATGACAACTCACTCAGGGTTACAGGGCTGAGGAGTTTTGAGCCCGATAGGAATTCACTTGCCCCTATGAGCATCTGGGATTTTGAGCCTAGAAAAATGGGGCTCGCAGCTGGAACCACGTGGGAACCACTGAAGCAAACGTGTGGGCGAATGGTGGGAGCTGGCTGGCTGCGCCTCGGGAGGGCTCCTGTCGGGTGACGGTGCCATTCAAACAACGCTCGACTGCAAGACAGGTGAAGGAGACTTCACTCTTAATTCCATACTATGATAGTCCAGGAGAAATTTGAAGGGTTATTTTTTTGGTGGAGTTTCAGATCCAGGCTACTTTATGTCAGCTTCCTTACAGGGGTGAGCTCGAAAAGAAGTGGTCACCACTTGGGAACAATACTGCGTGAACGTTTGTTTTCTTTTTGGTGTTTTTTTTTTAAAAAAAATCACTAACAAAGCAAGATAAAGAAGTTACATGTTTTGTCACCTCGTAATAACAGTTAAAACCAAGTATGTTGAACTGGGAACACCTGCAGTTTCCATTGAACTGTCTTGTGACCTGCCTGGGAGTGTTAAGTCTGTTTTGAGCACGTGGCTATATTCACTGAGAGTTTATTTGTCTTTTTAGCAGACAACTGCCATGAAGGGAGAGTACAAACATACAATGAGCAGAAAATTGCCTTAAAAGTGAAAACTTTGTATCCCCTCTTTAATATTTCCCCTCTTGCGTTTCTTACCAAAAAGGATCTCAGATAACAGCATTTCTTTCAAAGGCAAGTCAGGGTTGGTTTGTTTAGTGTTGGTTACTGTAATAAAGTCACCGTTTGTGTAATTTTAACCTGCTTTTGCAAAAGAAAGTGCAAGTTGTCTTAATAGAATTACCGATTATATTAATTTCCATTATTATGTCTTTGCAGAGAAATCTATAAAGCTGGGCTTCACCAAGGAGATTCTACTTCTCAGTGTGACGACAGCCTACACAGGTGGGAAGCGAGCAGAGCGTGTAATCCTGGAGCGGGGTCAGATCGGGATTTTAACCCCAGGGCAGGAACGTTTGGGGTTTTAACCCCCGGAGCAGGAACGCAGTTCCATATTTCTGCAAACATTGCTTGAATATTTCGATTATCTTTAAAACAAATTGCTTAAGACATTTCTGTGTTTTGGGAAGTGGTTCTGAGCGGGAGGAGGGATGCACCTGAATCTGCACCTGCTGACAGGCGTAGCAATGCTGTACGGTTCTGGGACACCCAAACTGAGGGTTAGGCAGAATTTACATAGCTGGTTTTTATGTGATTTGGAATTGCACTCTCTGTAGGTTGGAGATTGCTTAATGCGATTGCACTACGTTGCATTCAAATTAAACTAAATTTTGTAGACTGTGCTTTGTGTCGCCTCCATCGAGGTGTGGGACGTTACCAGCGATCTTCACTTTAGCCTTGGGTGCATTCGGTAAAAGTTGAGCTGTTGTGAACTGTTTCTGTCACTTGTATTTGCTGTGGCAAGAGCTCTTACTTTTTTACAACTTTATTTCAACCGGGTCCACCTTTGTTAGATCAAGGTATGAGCTGTAAAATAAAAATCCGTTTGGTTTTGCCATACTACTAAGGTGATTCTTCCACAAAAAAAATACCATAAAATGTTCAAAATGTTACTGGGATCCTTGAACAGATTTCTTGCTGTTTTCTTTGGCTTCAGACGCAGTTCTGTTCACAATCAAGTTAAGCTTCAAGGAGAACAGATCCATTTTCAGAACCTCAGCTCTGAGTCGCTGTTACGAGAAATTGTTACCTCTTTAAAGAGTTGGGTGCAAACAATCTATAAGCAGTGCTGCGACAGCTGCTGCAGTTTGCAGTCGGCTGCTGGTGGAGGAAGAGCAGGAGCGGCCGTGGAGTCACCTTGCACCAGGATGTCTGAGTTACAAGTCACTCCGCAGCATCGCAGTGTTGTGTTAACCCCAGTGAACTGACCTGGCTTTGTCCTGGGTGTTCAGTGCCCTGGGAATTCGGTGTAAGGTGACAATGGGAGTCGCGTTTTGACTGCTTGATCTGAAATTTAGTTTTACAGGTAGCAGGAAAAAAAAATTAGCGGTCCAGCTTGGGGGAAAAGAAAAAAAGCTGCTGCCATCTGGTGGCTTTTGGTCAATATTGCCACTTTATGGAGGAAAACAGAAAATCCCACAGGGCCAACAAAAGCTTTTATTTCCCAAACTGACGACTGGATTATTAAGACTGCTCAAAGCTCACCCCTTTGTGAAGCTCTGCAGTTCACACAGCGCGGGAGGCAGCCCAGGGTGTGGTGCTCCACACTTTTGCAGTAAGCAAAAAGCAGAGGTGGTAAATAAGAAACAATTCTGGTTTTGATCTGATTTAGGTGTAAGGCTTTGCATTGGTTTAAATATACTTCCTATAAAGGAACTGATATTTTTACACTGGTGTTTGCTGGTTGGACTCAGCTCTCTTACTTTTTTCACACAGTAGAAAGAAAGAAGAATTTTAAACAAACAGCAGTTGTTCTTCCTCAGTTGTAGTGTATTATGTATAGAAAAGTCTGTTTTAGGGATTTTAGCTCTTTTGGTATTTGGGGATGTAGGGAGTTTTTCTCAGAAATGCCATATCTTGAAGGGAGGGGGTAGGGAACCCCCCAAAACCTTTCTTGTGAAATTCCAAATTTCTTGAAAAGCAGAAATCGAAACTCTGTGTAGAGACTGTGTCAAGAGCAGCAGTACTGAACATAAGTGTGACACTAATTAGTGATTTTTTTAACACGATTTTCATAAACTGGGATAGAATAATATAATTACATACTTTAAAATTCCCGATTTTCTAGTTTCTGTTACACATACCTCATTTTAATGTATGTATCTGAAAGGTACTTCAGGGAAAAACAGCCCTTAGAGACATACAGCATTTATTAATAACTTTCATCTATCAGTTTTGTTTGATTTCTTTCAAAGGTTTGGAATTAACGTTCTTTTCTGGAGTGTATGGAACGTGCATTGGTGCTGTGAACCGGTTTGGCAGTGAAGAAAAAAGCCTTATTGGTCTCTCTGGTATTTTTATTGGTGTTGGAGAAATTTTAGGTGAGTCTAAATTTACCACCTTACAGACAGAAAGGATTGAGATGATGTAGTTACTCCAAAGGGCTTTTTTTTATATTTAACTGAATAGTGTCTTTCAAGCTTCCAGCAATGATTATGTAAACAAAAGAATTAAATATTAGAAATGAAATTGTCAGCAGAGTTCCTTATTGCCCTGCAAATTGTACATTACACCATCTAAAGTAGCTGCAGACTGGGCTGTGAAATACTGATGAGACTGAATCCTAAGATTTTGCGTCCGTTTTGGGTTAGTGCAAGGAAATACGTGAGGCTGAGAATGAAACGCCGGCCTCCAGTGTTACTGGAGAGAGTTCTCAGCATTTTGGTGTTCTATTTTTAAGTAGTTTCTAGGATTTGTTATTTTTTTCTCACTATTTTAAGTTTGGTTCTGTTCTTTACAACTTCAGTTCGGATGTAATGATCTGTTCTTTTCCACTTGTACAGGTGGAGGAATCTTTGGCTTGCTGAGCAAGAACAACCGCTTTGGCAGGAACCCTGTCGTGATGCTGGGCATCGTTGTCCATTTCATAGCCTTTTATTTAATTTTTTTCAATATGCCAAATAATGCCCCTATTGCTTCTATGGAGGGAACCAATGATGTTGCTTATATGATTCCGAGGTACGTAAACCTTTTCCTTTGGCTGGTGTAGCTCCTGATCGTAGAATCCTTCAGGTTGGAAAAGACCCTTGAGATCATCAAGTCTATTGAGACGTATATAAAGAGCTTGTTCCTGTAACAGAAAACTGCTTGAAGCTGCTTTTCTATGTAGGGACTAACTCCACAGAAAAGGCTTTCAGGAATTCTGTTTTTATTAAAGGTAGATATCCTACCAGTGTGCACCCCATTTAGGAATTTAAATAGCATTTAAAAATTTAGGAATTGAAAATGCTTGGGGATATTTGGTAGCAGTTCTGTCACTGAGACCTGACGTTCCTGACATCTGGTACAATGGTGGGACCAGTAACTATTGCACTGGCCATCAGGAATTCAGTTTATTTCAGGGAGTGTTGGGCTCGGGTTTCCTGCAGCAGGGAGCGCCAGCCTCCTTCCAGTGGCTTGGAACGCCGGTTATCGACGTGCTCTTGGTCTGACTGGAGTCTGTCGCTTACGCTGCCCGTTGTTAGGGGGAGAATACGGGGAGCTTTCTTACCTCATCATTACACCTTCCTTTGGGGTGGATTTTTGCCAGTTTGTGTGAAAACATGGTGGTGTCACTTTGTGCGGTCATAGCTGCTAACTTGCAATTGGAAGCATTTGTGCCTGTGATAACTCGCCTTTATTTAACTGGAGTGTTTTTCTGCAAAGTGAATTGGCATTTCTCTACTCCTCGCTGTGGGTACCTCAGCTTTTCGTTGCTGCCTTGTGGGCTTTGTGGCTCCAAGCACCAAAACGAGTTGTAGCCGTTCTAATTCAGTGTGGAACTGACTGCAGGTAACGCTAACAGGAGTTTCAGCATTCAACAAATTAAAATCTGATGAAACTATTCCTTTTGCCAAGCCAAGTGTCCTCAGTTCTTTTCCTGTGAAATTCAAAGTTTGAGAACTTTCTTCTGTTCTCAGTAAGTCTGCCAAAATAGCTTATAGATGTGTAAAATGTTTGAACAAATGGCTTTTAAATTTGGTTCATTTTCTCCTTCAGCAAAGAGGTGGCCGTACTCTGCAGCTTTCTGCTGGGCCTGGGGGACAGCTGCTTCAACACCCAGCTCCTCAGCATTTTAGGATTCCTGTATTCAGAAGACAGTGCTCCTGCCTTTGCCATCTTCAAGTTTGTTCAGGTATTACAGGAGACAGCTTTTAGAAAGTACGACTGTTAGAAGGTTATTGAAAAACTGGGCTGGGTTTTGTAATGAGCTGAGAAAAAAAATGTTACTTCTGCGAAGGATTTCAACCTGGATTTTTATCTTTTGCAGGCGATAAAGTAGCTTGATTGTGTAGCTTGGTGTGATTATATAATCAAAGTGCGATTATTTACACATTTTGAGGGAGGTTAGAGGTGTCAGAGATTGTAGTTTAAAGTCAAAAGGGTAGTGCAGCTAACCAGATTTGGATTTTATTTGAATAGTCATTTATTGAATTTATTTACTTGAAGTCCTTGACAGAGGGGTGTGAGTTAAAAGGAACCGGGTTGTGTAAATAGTAGTTGAAGAGTGTGAGGGTGTTGTACCGAATCACTGGGCGTTCTCAGGTGGGTATGCGGACAAAAGAGTTAAGTGATTGTTACCTGGTTTGAAGTTGTCAGAATGCCAGAATAAATGTACTTGTGCTGGAGACTCAGGGAAAAGTCTTTATACAACATCAATACACCTGCTGTAGTTTGGATAGTTCCCTTCGCTCGGAGGCATTAATCTTGTTTGATATCGACCTTTCCAGGTTGTGATCTGTGTTGATCAGAGGTAGGAGCAGAAAAAGGCTGGTGCAGAGCGTTGAAGCTGTTCCCGCTAGTGCTGGGAGCAGAGGGTGGGCTGGGTCTGGTTTCAAAGATGACAGCTTTGCAAAGACACTTGTCTTTTTCCTTCTGTACGACTCCAGTTTTATATCACAGTGAACTGACAATTTGAGAATTTGAGATGGACACGGAATATAAAGATTATTGATAAGAGCTCTAACAAAAATGTTACCTTTGGAAAGGACAGATTGCAAGTGAGCAGAACTGCCTTTCAAAGCCTCTAGCTACTTTGATATAGTTTGTGATGCTGTATAAGTGGATTTTGCCTTAAAGTCTTGGCAGTGTCGATTCTAGATAAACTGTTTTCAAATACCAGAGAACTGCACTTGCGATGCTACAAACGCTTTGGAGCGGTGCTCACTTTCTGCGGTGAACACTACTCAAACAGCGAGCCAAACCATGGGTTGTGTATCGTAGTAAGACGTGTGTTGAGGGGTTTAAGATTATAAATCTTCTAGAGAAGCCTCCTACTGAGAGTTGCATGTTAAACTGTGTGTATGTCAATTTGATAATCCTTGTACAGTAATACCAGCCTGGATTTCTCCACTGATGACCTTTTTACGTTGTGTTTTTTTTCTCCCAGTCCATCTGTGCTGCGGTTGCGTATTTCTACAGCAACTACTTCCTTCTGCAGTGGCAGCTCCTGATCATGGTGATCGTGGGCTTCTTCGGGACAATCACCTTCTTTGCCGTGGAGTGGGAAGCGGCGGCAGCCCTGGCTGCCCGGGGCTCGGACTACAGCAGCATCTGATCGAGACACCGAGCCTCGTCCCACGTGAGGAAGGACACAGGCGAGGTGCAAGAAGGTGGAAAGATCCAGTTGCTGCAGAGATTGAGATGGAGGCTACTACTACATCACCATGAGTCTGACTGAATGTAAAACGTGGGAGAGCGAAAAAAAAAGCCACATTTGAAAGGCTTTTTTCTCACTTGAATCAACGGAGCATGGTGTGCATGTTCTCAAAAATCCGATATTAGAGATGGAAGGAAATTTAGAGATCTATGTATTGAACAAGTCTGTTCTGAGACGTACCTTTCAGAATGTACTGATTCTGAATGCCTAATTTCAGCCTGCCGTGTGCTACAATTAGTTTAATTGTTTTCCCTTAAATTATTTTTCCTATATTCTAGTTGTGCAGACACTTGAGTTCTTGTATTGAATGATATTTTTCTAAAGTACATTATATTGCAGAGTGTGCCGGCACAGCTGAGAAATTGATTTATTATTGACTTTTTTCAACGATTAGAGTAGAAATATTTCTGGGGGAAATGTTGCCACCTCAATCTGTATACACCCGGTCCTTGTTCCCCAATCACTTGTTTATTTACGTGTTTCATGTGCTTAAATCATATCAGACACAGCGAATCAGGTTGCAGTGTGCCATGAGAGATTTTTAGAAGAACCAGTCTCATGGTTCAGCGTCTGGGAATTGAACTGCGTTGGGATAGCTTCTGGAACTTTCTCAGGGTGCTGCTCTACGAAGGACTGTAAGAGGTGGCTTTGCTCCTCGACTCTCAAATAATTCTTTTGAGTTCCATGAAACTCTCATCATCCGTGACGGGAACATTGTCTAAGATAACTTCTGGAAGTACTAATAGACTCAAATGTGAACTGTAAGAATAATCTTGCAGTGTTTATTCTACTGCAATAGTCTAAAAATACCTGAAACGCTTGATTTAAGTTGCTTCATTCGGTGTATTTTGGGAAGACTGTACTGTAATCTTATTCTGCCAAGTGCAAGAAGAAGGATACTAGCATAGTAAGAAAGTTTTAATCCAAAACTGTTACCTAATACAGGCAGGGAATGCAATTTGTCTTCATTTTATTTGTCTACGTGCCTCTGCAGGACTTGCAGTTAGTTTCTGTCCAGCGGGCAAACAAGACGCAACCGAGAGCCGGTGTGGAACACCGAGAAAGTGCTTTTAAACCCTCCGTGTGGCTGTTTATAGAAAGGTGCCATTCACCAGCCTTTTTTTGTGTACAGTCAGAATGGTAATGTCTTTAACTGTAAGACAAGTAAGAAACAAAGGTGGAGTCGATGTGTGTCGGTAGCTCCTGCCCATGGTAAGCGCGTGGGTGCGCCCAGGGTTAACCTCTCCTGGGGAGCGTGGGACCCGCGGTGACACTCGCTGCGCGTCGCTTGTGCTCTCACAGAGTGTGTAACACACAGCTCCCGCCAGCACAGCCCCCTTTGGGTGCAGTAAAACCACACAGAGGTGTTGTTTTACAGGCCTCTAGAAAGGGATTTTTAAATTTGCTGCAGGGTCTTGCCGTGAGATCGGGAAGGAGATGGGGGGATGAGAGGGCACCCGAGTGTTTGGCAAGCAAGGAACAGCCTGGCGAGGAAAGCCTCTGTGTCCCCCCAGGAGATTGTGTGAAAGGTGTAAAAGAGAAGGAAACAGAACATACATTTGAGTGAGGGGTTACCAGTCTGTCAAACTGAAAAAGCAGTCAGGATTCAATCAATATGTACGATTAATGGCACTTGCAGCACTCTAGTGCCTCTCTCTTACCCGCTCCTGCTATCCTGTGATTTGCAGCATTTTATTTTTGTATCCTGAGCACTCTGAAAGGTAGAGGTGATAGGATACTGCCAGCAATTAGGATGTGCTCATTGCTACACATTTGTATTTTCTCCCAAATACCAAAAGGGGTAAAGAGCTTTTTCTTTTTAAGACAGGGAATCCCTGACTTGTGTCTCCGAACTTTTCCTGGGACCTGTTTTCCCTTTCATTATCGACGAGATTAAAAATACTTGAAAGGTCCTGGGGAACAAGTTTTTCTTACTGTATATGGTGGTGGTGGGAAATGATTCTTGGCTCTTGTGGTGATGAGTAACTTAAAAATGCTTTTAAAACAATGTCACTGAACTGTAACTCGGTTACGGCTCTCATGAGGTTGCTTTTTAAACTGATCCCTTTTAATGAACTTCTGTGTTGTTTACACAAAATATAAGAATTATATCAACCGTTTTATTAGAAATGAAACTGCAAAGTGTATGTAGGTTAAACAAAGAATTTTGAGACTGACTTTCAGGGATACCAACGAACTAGGACTTGTGACCATTCAGTACCTCTGAATCTGGTGCTTGACTTTTTTCTTTCTGCTTGGTCTGAGTCAGTGTCGGATCATGTTAGAAGGCTGCTCAGAACTAGTTATAGGGTTGTTAAACTGAAGTAGTGTTGCTCTGTGACAAGTCTTGCAAGAAATCATAGAATTCTCCAAACTGCATCACGGATAGCAAATGTTTTTATTATTAACTGTCTAAGTATTGCTTTTGCCATTTGATCTGAAGAGACAGTTCTCAGTTGTTTGGGTTGATGATGACACACGATTACTTAGTCACGTTTCTTTGGTTTGTCAGGAGGTGAAAAACCTCCCCAGCTGTATGCAGTTGTTAGTTCGGTCAAAATTTTTGGTGTAGCCATATAAAGAATATTTATGATTTCATCTCTTAATCTTTTTATCAGCATTTCCCAGCCCTGAGGCTGCAGCCCATTGGCTTCACCTCCTTGGTCTGTGACAATTCAGCGTTAATCTGAATTGGGAGCGTACCGTTAAATTAAGAAGGCTTTGTTATTGCTGGTATCGTGGGTTTGTTTTGTACTGGGGATCTTATCTTTATAAGCAAAATCACATGTTAAGTTGCTTGGGTTTACTGAGAAGAAGTTTTTGTCTTTCAGTTGTGTGGGGTTTTTTTCCTCTTACCCTTCTGGGTTGTTACTAAGGTTTAATATCTTGATGTATCACTTCCCCAAGTTTTTCAAACAAGTGCTAAAGAGGAAATGAAAACTGTTGTTCTTGACATTTGAGTGCCAAAGCTGCTACAAATTAGTCTTTAATGCATGTCATACACGCTTATCTGTATTTTTGTCTTGCCAGTTGATTTTCATCTTGATTTGAAGGTATGAAATGAGAGAATTTCTACACCTGTGAGCCTTGCTCATAACTGAGTGCTGTGCTTTTCCTTTTGCTGCCCTAATTTCATTAGTAACAATCTGTGTGAGCCAGTTGAGATAAGGAAGAGAACCATTTGCTTTTTATAAATAATTCTAACCTATATATTTCTGCAGATACAGCTAAACTCATAAGGGATGTAAAAAGTACAAACCAAAACAACAACAACAAAAACCCAACACCCCACAACCCAACCAAAGCAAACAGAAACCCAACCTATAACCTTCTACCTGAGCAGAAGCTCTTGTGTGGTCCAGCGAGTAAAAACAAGAACCCTGCTGCTGGCGCAGCTCTTTCAGTTTCTGTGACCATTTTAAACTGCAGCGGAAAGAGATCTTCCTGGTGGAATTCGCTGGTGTAACTTTATGGCGAAATAACTGAAGTGCAGAAAACCAGAAGTGCAGGGCTGTGTGTCAGGGAACCAAAACAAACAGAGAAAGCTCCTTTGAACTCTACAAGTTTGCTCCAGCTGGAGAACGTGGTTCCCTGGCCACCACCCCGTCCTGAGTGCTAGTCATGAATGGTGCGGAGGTTGCCCAGCAGTTTGCCTCTGTTTGAAGAGTAGATGTGGGTGAAGAGCACCTCAAAAAGTGTTTTCTAGGGCTACAATTAATTGTTTTCTGTCAGTGCACATAGGAACCCCCGCACTGACCATCCTGCCGCCAGCCGCAGTGCTCCGCTTTCACTGGAATGGGGCACGGGTGTTGGTTGAGACAGGACCTCCCAGTCCTGACTCTTAATTTTGCTAGTGAAGCACTTTCCAAGACTTTACCCCCAGCACTGTTTCCCTCCTGGCCCCGCTTGGGCTGGCTGAACGGCAGCAGCAGCAGCTGGGACAATGTTTTCCATGTTCCCTGGGAAGTCTTCTGACGTGCCGGCAGAAATGTTAAAAATTGGGAGGATTTAAAGACGGAGATGAAATTGAAACGTTAGTGTCCAAATGAGATACTGGCAGTTCTGATACGACCACACTGGTTCAGAGGCAAAACTGAGACTCTTGTTTGCTGGAGTTTTTGTGGGCAAGCCAAGAACGAGGGTTTGATGAGTTGAACTTTAGGGCTTGTGTTAGTACCACAGAGAAGCACTGATGAGAGAGTGGAAAAAACATCCTAAAGTCCAATAGAGAGCAAATCTGGAACTGAGAATAATTTCCTAGTGGGCATGTGGAGGGAGGGGGCGCTTTGTTCAGTTGAGTTTGGGCATTGACTCAATTTTTGTCTCGTGCTTTCTCTGCCTTCAGGTTTTTTCAGCTGTTGCTGTGTCCCCCTCAAAGCTATCCTTTCTCTTTGGTTTACGTTTTGTCACTGGGCAGAAGTTTAAGTAATTGAAACTTCTTTTACCTTAATAAATCTTTGGGTTAGAATTGGTGATTATCGAGAGCAGGCCTCACACAACAATTATCTGAATGAGAACGCTGCTTTCAAGCGTGTACTGACTCTTTACGATGTTTCTTTCATGGTCACAGCCACGCAAATAAAAGTGACTCACAGACAAAGCTGTTGTTAATGTGGTTGTTGTCAGAATTGCTCTTGTCCCCATTTCAGACAGTCGTGCCGGGGGATTTGGAAACGGGAGACGTGGTCCTCATGGATGGATGCAGAAGTGCTTTGTGGCACCTGATTTAGGAGAATGAAGATGTTTGGTAAATGTTTGGTTTAGTGCTCAGTAGCTTTTCTGAACCACTTAATTCTAGTTGTGGCACAGAGAAGTGAAATGTCTTGGGGAACTCAGGATGGCTGCTTTGATCCTGGCCTCTTTCCTTTCTCTGTTCTGTTTGGAAGCCCATCTTCAGA